CCTGAGGAAACAACCTCGGGATTTTCAGGTGTAGAAGCAGCAGAGGACTTCAACTGTGTTGGACTGCGAAGCTGCTCAAACATTTGGCGCCGTCTGTGGGAAATTCGAACAAGAAGTTGTGTGACTTAACCGCTGAAAGACAAAATGGTCCGTACTTTTACAGGAGGTCGACCTCCAAGAAATGAGATGGACGAACAGGAGGATGCCCAAGTATCTGAGCCCGGCGTGAATGACTTTAGACCAATGCCAAGAAACCTTTTCGTTGGGGGAGCAAAACAAGATCACCTAAGCGAAACGGATGATGATGAAAGAACACCAACGGGATATGCAACCCAGCCTGAACAATTCCAAGTTCCAACGGGAACGAGATCAAGACCTTCTAAACCATACAATTCGCAGCGTGAACGACCTGAAAGGTCAACAGAACCTGCTCGGACAACTGAGCTCGAAGAGAGAACCAGAATTTTGGAAATGGCAATGGGTAAAATCCTTGCCCGCCTGATTCCTTTTTTGAACAGGGATGCACAACCAGCTACGGTTGTTGCGACTCGAAACTCCCCCGCTCTAAGCAACATAGTGGTGCCGACCAAGCCAAGGGGAAGTGGGAAGTTGAATAATGAACCCAGCTCGTCCAAGCATAGTGAAGAGTTGATGAGAAAGAACGCAGACCTCGAAAGATAGCTGCGGGACGTACAGAAGTCCATTGACGAGCTGAAAAGTCCCAGGTCGCACCAACAAACCCTTGATTTGGATAGTGCTCCATTGAACTTATCCATCACAGCAGAACCGTATCAAGAGGGATTCAAGATTCCCCACCTGGAGACATATGATGGCTCGGGTGACCTAGATGAACATCTGCACACCTATCAAGCCATCATGAGAATCCAAAATGCCAATGATGCCATGATGTGCAAAGTGTTCCCAGCGACACTAAAATCAACAGCCAGGAGATGGTATCACAAGCTCCCCAGACATTCTATAGACTCATACTCTCAGCTCGCCAAGCTATTCTCCTACAAATTCGCGAGCCAGAGAGAGATCAAACGCACAGCAACCGAGCTGATGCAAGTTAATCAAAAGGAAGGGGAATCTTTGAGGGAATACATGCAGCGATTCAACAAAGCCACTTTGGACATTGATAACGTCCTAGAAACCATCTGCATGTCTGCCTTACTACATGGTTTGAAGCGTGGCCGGTTCCTGGATGACCTCCTAGAAAACCCACCAAGGACTTGGAACGAAATGAATGACAGGTCGACTAGCTTCATATTATCAGAAGACTTCCAGTCGTCCAAGCGACGAGCTGACGATAAGCAAAGCAAAAGCTAGGAACAGCCACCGAGAAGGGAAGAGAAGAAGAAACAGAAAGTCAGCGAGCAGTGGGAGAAGCCCGCCGACTTCCCCAAGTATGCCAATTACATTCCCTTAACCTTGCCCAGGTCTCAAATCCTTGCGCAAATACAACACTGGGTTAGAAGACCCCCACCCCCACTGTATGAGTCCCCAAGGGCAGACAAGAGCAAGCATTGTGACTATCATCGTACTTATGGTCACAACACAGAAGATTGCCAACACCTGAAGGACGAGTTGGAGTTCCTGGCTCGCAATGGGAAACTAGAAGGATATGTTCAGAAGCCCCATGCCCAGCAACCCACTCAAACTCATTTTGTACAGGGGTATGACCGACCTCAAGGGCAGAGGTGACAGCTCGGCGGAGCACAGGATGTATATCAGGACAATCAATATCCTTCGGAGCAGGGCAGGGCGTACAGAGGGCGTCCGTTCAACAGGAGAGGACAGGGGCAGAGAGCTGCTGCTCAGAACCAAAAAGATAAGAAAGGGGTAGGCTACGCTGGGATACCCCCGCCATCGGGTACAATAAACATGATATCAAGTGGTGTTCACTCTGGGGGCCAAAGCGCCCGAGCCCGCAAGGCATATGCCCGGCAGGTGATGACTGTCAACAAAAACAGACCTTTGAAGCGGCCGTTTGAGGAAGCAGAATGGGAGAATACGCCTATCACATTCAGCCCGGTAGATTACAAGCGAGCAGAAGGAGAGCCTGACATTATGATGCCCCATGCAGATCCCTTTGTTGCAACGGTTCATATAGGCAATCATAATGTCAATAAAGTGTTTATTGATACTGGCAGCTCGCCAGATATTTTATACTGGAGCTGTTTTCAAAAGATGCAGCTGAATCTGGGCTCACTACAGAAGTACGAAGGGCCCATATACGGGTTTGATAACCAGCCCGTCCCGGTCGAGGGAGTTATTACTCTTCCTATATATGTAGGCTCAGAACCATGCTTTAGGATGGCTTCGGTCACCTTCCTCGTCGTTAAGATGGAATCAACTTTCAATGCTATATTAGGAAGAGCCACCCTGTGCGAGCTGAAGGCTATCATCTCGCAACCCCATCTCTGCATGAAATTCCCAACTCCTCAGGGGGTAGGAGTGCTTAAAGGGAATCAGAAGATGGCTAGAGCCTGCTACCAAGATACTTTCAAGAAGGTTGAGCTTGTTGCTACCCCTGCAAGCTCCGAAAATCACAGACCAATCCAGCTCGGTCAGCAGACAATGAGCATATCGGATATTGAGCACCGACCTAAGGGTGTTGAGTAGAAAGCAGAGCCAGTGGAGCCCGTAGAAATAGTTCCTTTAAACGCTGATGTGCCAGAAAGGACCCTCAAAATCGGCACCAAACTCACAAAAGAAGAACGAGCAGAGCTTCTGGAGTTTTTGAGGGATAATCAGGATGTGTTTGCGTGGACTACGGATGAAATGCCTGGCATCCCAGCAGAATTGACAGTCCACAAGCTCAGCACAGACCCCACCAGGAAGCCAGTGGTTCAGAAGCGTCGCCTTTTTGGCCCTGAGAAGCAAGCTTCCATAGACGAAGAGATACAAAAGTTATTACAGGCAGGCTTCATCAGAAGAGTGGAGTACTCTGAATGGGTGTCCAACCTTGTGCTCGTCAAAAAGCCAAATGGCAAGTGGAGGATGTGTATTGATTTCACCAACCTCAATGATGCGTGTCCAAAAGACCCTCATCCCTTGCCCAATGTTGAGAAGTTAGTAGAACGGGCAGCAGGACACGAACGGATGAGCTTCCTTGATGCCAGTTCGGGTTATCATCAGGTCCAGCTATTGTTGGATGACTAGGAGAAAACGGCTTTTTACGCTGGTGACGCAATCTACTGTTATGTGATGATGCCGTTTGGCTTGAAGAACGCTGGTGCAACATATCAGAAACTGGTGCAAATCGTTTTTAAGCTCAAGATCGGCAGAAACATAGAAGTATATGTGGATGATATGATAGTCACCAGTGTACGAGCTGAAGATCACATAGGCGACCTGAGTGAAACCTTTCAAAACTTGCGGTGGGCTCAAATGAAGCTAAATCCCCTTAAATGCACATTTGCTGTAGAGTCAGGAAAGTTCCTAGGGTACGTGGTATCCAAGAAGGGAATTGAAGTAAATCCGAAGAAGGTTCGGGCCGTTCAGTAGATGGAGCCACCCAGGACTGTCAAGGATGTACAGCGGTTGACGGGCCGTGTAGCTGCGCTGCATAGGTTCATAGCTAGGTCGGCGGAAAAATGCCTTCCCTTTTTCAAGGCCCTGCAAGAGCTTAAGAACTTTCAATGGACTGATGAGTGTCAGAAGGCGTTTGACGAGCTCAAACAATATCTGGCATCAGCACCCCTGCTGTCCAAGCCTGTGGAAGGGGAGAGCTTGTATCTGTACCTGGGAGTTATCGAAGAGGCGGTGAGCTCGGTCCTACTTAGGGAAGAGAATAAGAATCAAAAGCCTATCTGCTATGTGAGTAAAGTTTTACAAGGCGCCGAGCAGAACTACCCACTAGCAGAAAAGGCTGCTTTTGCTTTAGTCTGCACAGCTCGTAAGCTGAGAGCTTACTTTCAGTCTCATCAAATTGTCATCTATACTGATTTGCCGTTGAGGAAAATATTACGAAAGCCAGAACTCTCTGGTCGACTCATCGGGTGGAGCGTCGAGCTGAGTGAGTATGACCTCAAATTTCAGCCACGCACGACTATAAAAGGACAGGCTATGGCAGACTTTTTGGTTGAATGCGCGTCGGCGCCTGTGAAAGAAAAGGCACCTGAACACCCAGTCTGGGTTTTGTATGTAGATGGAGCAGCTAATGTCGAAGGATCGGATGCTGGAGCTGTGTTACTGGGCCCTGACGGCTTTAAATCAGAGCATGCGCTGAGGTTTAAGTTCCAAACAACCAATAATGCTGCAGACTATGAGGCCCTCGTTTACGGATTGAAGCTGGCATCCGAGCTGAAGGTACAGAGCATCCAAGTCTTCAGCGACTTCAGCTCGTTATAGGCCAGGTAAAAGGCAGCTGTGAAATCAGGGATCCTCAGCTTGGTCATTATGCTTCTGTGGTCAGCAAATTGAAGTCAGGATTTGTCTCTTTCCAGATCGACAAAATACCAAGAGCAGACAACCACCGAGCTGACGAGCTATCAAAATTGGCCTCCTCGCAGGACCTTACCCCTCAAAGGTCAACCATCGTCGAAGTGCTTGATGCCCCGAGCTATACTGATTTCGCGGTCGAATGTCATCTGTTAAGTACGGATCCCTCTGCACCGAGCTGGACTACCTCGCTCATAAATTATCTGCAAAGTGGCGAGTTACCTGAAGATCTGTCCGTTGCGAAATTGATTAAACGTAAGGCGGCACATTTCACCTTGTTAGATAACCAGCTCTACAAACGAGTAGCCTCAATGCCCCTATTACGCTGCCTAACTCTTTACGAAGCTGAATACGCCGTGAGGGAAGTTCACGAAGGAGTATGTGGCACGCACATCGGTGGCAAAACTTTAGCTCGGAAACTCCTGCGGCACGGTTATTACTGGCCCACTATGGTTGAGGACGCACAGAACTATGTCAAAAGGTGCCCGACCTGCCAGTTCAATGCTGATGATATTCACATGCCAGGTATCTGAGCTCATTCTAAAGTTTATGCAAACTTAGTGTCTGTCTATGAACTGAGCATAAGTATCCTTGTTAAAACAGGAGAAATGCTCTCATCACTTACATCTCCGTGGCCCTTTGCTCAATGGGGAGTCGACCTGCTCGGCCCTTTCATGAAAGGCAAAGGAGGATGCACTTACCTCGTTGTCGCGGTGGATTATTTCACCAAGTGGATAAAAGCCAAACCATTGTCCGCGACAACAGAGAAGAAAATAGAAGAATTCTGTTTAATTCAATACTATGAAGGTATTTTTTGGTGACTTAAGCTATTGGCACATTATATGTAATTATAATTCATGGCTCAGCTCGGACATCTGTTTCCAGGTTCGGCATACCTAAACGGATCATAGCTGATAATGGTCCGCAATTCCGAGCCGCGGCGCTGAGGTCGTTCTGCAACGATTATGGAATTGAGCTTGCCTTGACATCTGTGTATATTCCACAGTTCAATGGGCAAGTCGAGTCCGCCAATAAAATCGACTTGCGGGGCCTCAAGACGCGTGTTTTGGATGCACATACTAATTGGGTTGACGAACTCAATAAAGTGCTGTGGTCATGTCGTACTACACCCAGCTCGGCCACAGGCGAAACCCCGTTCAGCCTGGCATATGAAGCTGAGGCCGTCATCCTTGTCGAGGTCGAATTGCCATCCGATAGATCAGATCGTCATGACAATTAGAATAATGAACAACTCTTAAGAGAGAACCTAGACCTTGTGGAAGAAATCAGGGAGATGTCCCGAATAAGAAACATGGCACATCAAAGTCGTGTTGCAAAATTTTACAATAAGCGAGTTCAAGCTCGCCAGTTTCAGGTCAGCGATTTGGTTCTACGCAAAACTGGATTAACCAATACTTATACACACTTAGGCAAGCTCGCTCCTAATTGGAAAGGCCCCTATGTTGTTATTCAAATTAAACAACCTGGGTCTTACGTGTTAGCAGATATACAAGGACGTTAGTTGCCTTACATTTGGAACATACACAACCTTAGAAAGTTTTACAGTTAATATGTGTTCTGCCATTTTATTCAGATTGTTATCCAGCAATTGTAAATGACAACGTACAGAAACTGTGTAAATGACAATACAAAAATTTCAAAAGGAAGTTCATATTTGCATTTCATCAAAGCTTTTTACATTTAAGATGTATCTAGAATAGATCCTTTGATCAAATACAAAAAATACAGAAGGCCAAAAGAAATACAAAAGAAACAACAAAATCTCTAAGCCTAATCGTCCGTCAGGTCGACAGGCATGGACGCATCAGCCGCCGGAGGAGAAGAGCGAGCTGGAGGAGAGGAGCGAGCTGGAGTCGAGCGAGTAGCAAGCTCGGGAGCTGGTGCTTCGACAGGTGGCGCCATGGAGGGCTGAGAGTTAGGAGGAGTACTCAACGGCTCCTGCTCAGCAACAGGAACCCCCTCCACCCATCCATCAAACGAGGGCATACCCATTGGGTCCTCCCCCTCTTCCAAAATTGAGGGAGGCCAGACAGGTACTCCCTCTTCATTGAGGTCCCACCTCAGCCGCACTGTAGTATCAGCGAGGGGAGCAAGGCTCTTACCCTGCTCATCAATATCCTCTCCGTTGAAGAACGCTAGCTCGCGTATAGGGAAGTCCGGGCGGTGGTGCAGCACCTTACCACGGATCTCATTGTAGATCTCCATGGTCATGTTAGCAGACGCCACCGCCACTACGTCTTGGAACGTAGCCGAGCCCACCAGCCACTCTGCCCTTTGAGCCCGGGCAATACTGACAGAGCGCGCATGGGATGCCTTCAGGTCGTTCAGCGCCTTTTCCGCAGCAGTGAGGTTTCTGTCAGCCTCGGCGACTTGGTGCCTAAGGGAACCCAGCTCGTGCTGAACGCGGTCCCTATCGGCCTCGGCCTTCTTAGCCCGTTCCTCGACCTTGGCGGTCTCGTCCTTTGCCGCCTGGATTCCGCTCTCCTTTTCAGCTCGAGCCCGCTTCAACTCCTCCCTGAGCTCATTGTTTCTGTTGGCAAGCTTGTCCGCCCGGCTCTCTGCAGCCGCAGCTCAGTTCGCCATTTTAGAGCCTTGCAGACAATTTACATCATCCACAAGGCTGGCCTTCTCAGCAGCCAGCTGTTTACATCTAGAACCGAGCTCGCTGTTCTGTGTACGAGCTCTCTGCTCGTTCTCGTACAGAGCTACAGTGTAGCTGAATGCCTGCCAAACAGCAACAATTGTAAGTACCTAGCAAGGAAAAGTAAAACACTTAAGCAAGTACGAGCAAATACTTACATCCATCAATTTGATCATGGCGACCTGGCCGCCATACTGCTACACAAAAGCTTTTGCCCGCTTATTATCCACGGGGGGCACAAAGCTGTGCATGCCCTGCACCATGGCGGGCTGGCACTCCGCCCTCACATAGCTGAAGCCCTCAGGATAAGTGATCCTGGGGCCCGACACCGAAGCCGATGCAGAGGCGGGCTCTACTATCGCTCGCGCAGTCGATGACGGCGCGTTGGGTGAACGAACGGTTGCAGGACGGACCGCCTGCGCGGGCTGAGTCCCCCCACTTGTTCTGCACCGAGCAAGAGGGACCTCATCTTCTTCGTTCTCCATCTCCTAACGTGCACGTCTACGTGCACTCGGAGCTACAGCCTCAACCCTATGCTCAGCCCGCGGCCTAGAGGCTGAGTTGGATCCTCGATGGGACGAGCTGCGCGATTGAGGCGCGGCCGGCGGTCGCTCGTCGAACCGCGTCTGTCTCTGCGAGGTGCTGCCCGCTCTGCGGCCTCGTGAGCTCTGTGCTCATTGGCGTTGGCGTTCGAGAATGCTGCTCATCTCTCCTGCACAAACAAATATATAAGACTGAGCCCGGCTAATATTCAAGATATATGATAAAAATATACCTTCTGTGAACAGGTTTGCCACGTCAACAAACCCGAACACAACGAGCTGCTCCGAGGTAACCAGGGCATCTAGATCTATCAGATTCTCCCTCCTCGCATAGTCCAGCAGCTGATTTTTGATTTTTGAGGTCTGTGTCCCGTGGCAGTAATTGAGGGTAGTTGACGTGTGCATTGGGCACACACCACTTAGATAGCCGGGCAGCGAGGTCGTTACTTATTCTCTCTGTTCGCGTGTCGTGAACAAATATGAATTGCCTCTTCCACCTCGCCACCTTGTTCCGGATATTCTTGAACAACTGGCTCTTCTCTCTCCCGGAGAGGTAGTACCACTTCGCGCCTCTGGAGTTGGGACACAGCCGGCATTGAAACAGCGACCTGAACACGATCGCCTTGGCTGGTACCTTTAATCGCGCACACAACAGCATAAAGCCAATAATGAACCTTATGCTGTTGGGCGTCAGCTGCGTCAGCGCCAACTCATAATCCACCAACAGATCAAACACCAATCCGGGCAGGGGAAATCGCAGCCCGGCCTCAAAGTGATCCACGTACACGGGTATCCAGCCCGTCTGCGATATCGTGAACGCCCTCTCGCTCTTGGCGCCAGTCCGGAGCAGGATTGTCCTGAGGATGTGGTGCGCCCTCACCATCTCCTCCAATTTCCTATATCCACTTATAAAGGGCGCACAGTCTGCCACTTCATGATGTAAGGCAGCCCGGAACCTAAATCCAGCAGGCAGGTCCTTGGGCGCCTTTCGCAGGTTGCCCAACCTGGCCGTGATTGTCTTGCTCTCCCACTCTCCAATCATGGGCCGATCTGAGACATGGCTAACCACATCCCCCATCCCTTCCTCGCGGCTAGGTGTCTCTTCTGAGGACGAGCTGCTAAATGATGCAGCAGGGTGGTCGCCACTGTCGTCCCTAGCACTCGAACTGGCGCTTCTCTCAAGCGCCATTGTTTCCAGCAAGTCCTGCAACTCAGGCGGCACTATCATCGTGATAGGCTCCACTGATAAAACCCCTTCCTCTTCTCCATCTCTGCCTTGGTTACCTCGTTGTTCTGTAAGTTCTCTCAACGAAACCATTCTACCTGAAAAGGATGCGAAGTTATGGCGTGTGATTCGATGCTCTGTCCTTCAAGCCGGAGTACTTCACTGTAGAGAATTTCAGAAAGTCTTAAGCAAACAAGAAATGCAAATGGAAAAGGAAACGGTTGTGCAGAGAGAAATATGGCATTGTTAATTACCGTACGCGTGTTTTTGACGCGCCAATTAGCGCTCTGCATGTGTCATGCGTTTAACGCACCTTTTGCATAACGTGCGCCGGCTTTAGCTGTCACGTCCCTCAAATGCTGAGCCAGCATTTATGGCGGGGAAGGCAGAGAGATATGGGAAGCTCAATCGTACCTCCTTAGAGATTTGCTTGATTCAAAAAAAAAAAATCCCAAGATTCAGGTCGTAACAGGCTGATGTGTCCCCTATCCCGTCCACACTAGCTCCTTGTTATAACCATATTTACCAGGTCGTCACAAACATGACAATTCGTTCACAATTGTAGATTGTTTGCTAAAATTCCCCAAGATTCAGCTCGTCACAGATTGACGTGCCCCTAGTTTCAGGTTGTTACACGGGTTGCAGCTCATGACGGGTCACAGTCCTTTTCACAGATCAATGGGTACCTGAGGTCGCCCTATTTAACAGAACTACCCGTGCGAGCTGATAAAGTGTGATAATCAAAAATCTCAGGTCGTACTGTGGGTAAGGTCGCGTTGCCTCAGCTCACGATCATGGCTGACTGAGCATCATCTGATCGCTTCAGTGCCTCCGATAGTAGTCAAGGGTCAAGTCGCCACACGCCCTCCGGTGCTCACGTTAACGTGGACGAGCTCGCTGAAATAGCGAATAACACCTTATGTGCGTGACCGCTCCCCCGCCATAACAAGCTCACACTGGTGTGGCTATGGATATCAGCTCGCCTTCACGCTTTCAGGCTCGCGAGCTCGCCTCTTTTCGTTTCACCTTTTAGCTCGGCCATCGTCGAGGTCGGCCTACAGGCACATCCATCCCAGTTCGTCAACCGAACACCCGGGGGGGAGTAATGTTAGAATAGGCCCAATAAGCCCAATACCCAAACAGGGCTGTGCATAACGGGCCTAGGTTACCGCCCATTAGTCCAAGCTGAAGGAGCATCAGTACAAGCATACCCACGTGACCAGCATCACGTGGGCCAATGGGATGCTCACACGTGCAGATGTATGTCAGCGCCAAGGGGCTATAAATACCCCTCAACTACCTCCGATAAAGGTAATTAATCTCTACGCTTCTCTCTTTGCAATTACTCCTTGAGAGCATCTCTCTCTAGAATATTGAGGATTACTGACTTGAGCGTCGGAGTGTTTTCCCTGAGGAAACAACCTCGGGATTTTCAGGTGTAGAAGCGGCAGAGGACTTCAACTGTGTTGGACTGCGAAGCTGCTCAAACAATACCCAAATAAAATAAAATAAAATTTGCTCCGTCAATCAGGATTGATACCAATTTGTCTGGTATTGATGTTTTTTGTAGTGTGCAGAAGGTAGGGCCATGGGATTGGGGCGTAGAGCAAGGCTGGTGCAGGAAGCAAGGCCGACAGGAAGGGCAGGTGATTTGGTGTAGCAGAGGGGCGTAGGGGGGTATGATGGCTCGGGCGTGCAAGGCATGATTGCCGGTGATGGCTGGTGCAGAATGCAGGCGATTCGGGTGCAGAAAGGGCAGGGGATCTGGTGCAGAAGGCGCGGGATTGGGGCCAGGCTCGATGTAGGGCAGGTGTAGGAGCAAGGCCTAGGCTCGGTGCAGGGCAGGTGCAGGCTGGCAGGGGGTAGGGCAGAGTAAGGTTGGGCGTAGGCATGGCAGGGGAATGATGGCTGGCAGTGGGGCACAGCGGAGAGGGATCTGGGCTCGGGTGCGGGCGAAAGGAGAGGCGCAGAGTGCAGGGCTGGCTCGCGGTGCAGGGGCACAGGGGCACAAGAGCAAGGGCGCAAGGGCGCAGGGCTGGTTGTAGGCAGCAAGGGGCTGGTTCGGGAGAGAGAAAAGTAAAAAAAATGGAAGAAGAAAGGCAAGGTTCAAGATGTCTTCCCCCCTTTTTTTTTGTGTTTTTATGGTTCTTTGGGGTTTTTTTTTTTTTTTTTTTGGGTTTGGTATTTGGGTTTGATAGGTTTTGGGCTAAATGGATTTTGGGTTTTGGTTTTAACTTTGCATTTCACCCCTCCAACTTTTCATTTCTTTAATTGAGTTCTTTCTTTCATCTTCTTTTCCAATCTTCTTCGTAAAATTTCTTTTTTGCCCCCCCATTTTTTTTTATAAACCTAACAAGTAAAACAAAGGCAAAACATATGAGTTAAAATAAAAATAAAAATAAAATAAAATTCTGCTAAAATTTGAGTTATGACAATAATATCACTAACCAAATCCCCAACTTTGTTTCTACCAAAACCACAAACATATATGCTTAATATTGTTCATTTAAGAGTGAGACTCTATGGCATGCAAGACTTTTAGAGCTTGTTATTTGAATGGGAATAAAACAAATCATGCACGCTTTGAGGTTTAAAAGAAAGAAAGAAAGAAAGAAAAAGAATCCTATTGCACATATTTGGACCACTGATGGTCTAAAAAATATATTCAGACCAATAGTGGTCTGAATATCTTATGCAGAAGCTAGAAGCTTCTGCTATGAAAGTTTTTCATTCTTTTCATTCTTTTCATTTAAGGACAATCCAACTGAAATGAGCGCCAATTTCGTTTCTACTAAAACAAAATGCATACATTTCACTACTATAGTCACTTATAACCCCAACACAATAAGTTAGTCGCTAGAAATGGCTTCATGGTGATAGAATACAAGATCATTGCGAAACTGCAAATGTGTAAAGTTAACATCATTACTTTTAAGGTTATGTGATGCTATTTTTACGCCACAAACATGTAGGATTGGTATTGCTAATTTTAAGACTAAATTTTGTGGCAATAAGACTTTTAAAGCATGTTGGTTAAATAGGAGTAGAATGAATCTTGCACGATTTGTGGGGAAAAAAAAAAGAATCTTGCTATACATATTCGGACCACTGTTGGTCTGGAAAACAAATTCGGACCACTGTTGGTCTGGAAAACAAATTCGGACCAACAGTGGTTCGAATATGTCATCAAGAATCTAGAATCTTCTACTCTAAGACTTTTTCATTATATTCATTCAAAGGCAGTTTGAACTAAATGAGCCCCGATTCCATTTCCACTAAAACTAGACGCATGCATTTCACTGCTATAATCACTCTTAACCTTGACACGATAAGTTAATTGCTTGAAATGGCTTCACGATGGTGCAATGCAACATCAATGGAAAACCACAAATGTGTAGAGTTAATATCATTACTTTTAAACTTTTTTCACGCCATTCCGAAATAGTAAACATGTAGGCTTGCTATTAAAGGTTAGATTTTAAGGCATTGAAGACTTTTAAAGCATGTTGCTTGAATAGGAGCAGAACGAATTTTGCACAGTATGGAAAAAAAAAAAAAAGAAGAGGAATTTTGTAGCATATATTTGGACCATTGTTGGTCTAAAAAATGTATTCGAACCAACAGTGGTCCAAATATAACATTCTTTTTTTTTTTGGTGTTATTTTTTATTAAATATATTTTTCATATTGCTATGCTTTTATTCAAACCAACTTTGGTCTAAACATTTTGCCGCCTTTTCTGCTAAAATTTTAAAGGTGAAAATTTTAAAATTTTTGACAATTTCTAGACAAATAGCAATCTAAAATAATTAACTGCCAAAAAAATTTACACTCATTTGAAATTTTTGTGTTGGCTGCCAAATTTCTATTTAATATATTCCGAATTGATTACGGTCCAAAATATATTTGCCTATATATTTCCATGCTTGTTGCCCTCTTCACTAGTTTTTCTTGTTTACCATTATTCTACTATCCTTCTCCTCCTCCCTATTTTCTATCTGGTTTCCCTTTTTTCTTTCACTCATGCTTCTAATATCTCTTCTTCCTTCATCTTTGTGTTGCTCTTCTAATTTCCCATGCCTTTGTTCCCTTCTTCTTTTCAATTTTGTCAAGTCCTCTTTCTTCTTGTTTTGTTCTCTTTCCTTCCTCTTATTTCTTCCATTTTTGACTAATTTCTTGTTTTTATGTTTATAATTTTATATTTTGTTTTTATTTTTCTAATTTGTGATATTAGTTGTGTTTAATTTATTTTCCCTTGCTTTACTAACTTTTTTTTTTGTAGGTTATTTTGAAAAGTTGGTAAATCTTTGTTGATGGATGCTTTTGTAGAAGGTCAAACTTAGACTCGGGTAGTTTCTACGTCACCAAGGCCTGCCTCAATTTAAGCACCCCTTAATGCCTTCAATACACATTTACCAAAAGGCCCAACAATATATGATGCTGTAACACATGGCTAGGCCCAGCAATAACTGATGTTGTGATACATGGCTAGGCTCAACAGTGTCTAATGCTGTAGTACATGGCTATATTGCCATAAATACAAAGGAAGCCCTAGCGATATCCAAAAATACATAAGGAAGTCCCTTTCCTTTATTATTTCCCTATTTATTAAATCTCATCATTTTCATCAACTGATCACTATTTTCATATGTAGGTCGTCAATGAACCCATGAATCCAAGCTCATGGGCATTATTCGAGACAAACTATGGTAGTAGTGGCTTGGCAGGCATGGATGGGTGCACATTGCCTATCTGGCGAAGCGAGGTATTTGCGCTAGCGAAGCTTAGTGTTGGCGATGTTGCCTGACTTCACCAAAAAGGGCTAGGTGGCGAAGACGTGGAGGTAGACTTGATCCCTAAAACTATACTATTTGATGCTAACTACAAGCTTGGAATCTCGTTCAAAACCAACCAAAGATGTTGTTTTGGTCACCATCAACAACTTGCAACCATATTCAATGCAAAGGTGGCTGCACAATGTTGAAAAATGCTGAAAATGATGGCTCCACAAGTTTCTTAGCCTTGGGAACTGTTGAAAAAGATCTAATTTTGCTAGAAAAATCTACCAAAATCTTGGGCTGACCTTGGGAATCTTGCAAAATCCTGGGCAGCCCTTGGAAATATACCAAAATCTTGGCCAGATTTGATTTTGTCGGCTGCACTCAATTATCCCCCAAAAACGGAATTTCATATGGCTGGAGAGTTATCAAAAATGGATAGCCTTTAGCAAATTAGCAGTACTTCGCTACACCCAATAGTGCTTCGCTGGAATTGGTAGTGCTTTGCCATGACCACTGGGTAATTCATAATATCACTTCCAAAAAGCTGTCAGCCATATCCAGAACCACTCAAAACTCGACAACTCATCCAAATCTACCCATGAGGCCACTAATACCTATGACCCATCAACTCAGAATTACAAAAATGCCATTGCACATATATATTATTTTTCCTTCATTTTTTAGCATAATAGACTAGATTTTCCACAACTCCAACTTCCCTTTCACGTACCAAGCCTCCCTTCTTCCTTTGAAAAATACTTCATCCTTACCCACTCACCCTACACATTGAAATTACCTAGTAATCACCATTTTCTTCATATTTTCTACACTTTTAGCACTGCTGAACAATTTCCATACTTGCAGAACATCATGGTTGGGAGACAACATACTGCAGATTCATTTTCTAGGTTATTTTCATGAGCATCAAAGGTTCAAGCTAAAGAGTTAGCATCGAAAATAGGATCTAGCCATTCACTCACGAGCCCCCAAAACGATCATCCTTTCCATCGCTACTTTCAAGTTTATTTTTTTTGTTCTTAAGAAAGCTTCAAAGGAGGAATTGTTGTACTTCACATTTGCACCATGAGAGTTGCTCATTATAGAGTGGGAGTATTTATTAGAGATAATAAAGGGCACATTCATTGTCATTATCATTATGATACAATACTTTATGTATAAATGTGCTTCTCAAGTTGTAACCTTTGATCATCATGTATTTTTCATCCTTGACACTCTTACCACAATGTATATTTTCTTTTTATATTTTTTTGGTAGTTGTGTAATCATTCCTAGTTCCAATATCTAGCTCTTCTGACTTCGCTGAAGAAGGTTCACTCCAGACTCTGTTGGAGGCATCAATTTGGCTAGGGACACTCTATTCGCGAGCTTCGCTAGAGAAGCTCTATTTCCAAACTTTGTTGGAGAAGTGTTGACGACCACTTAAGATTTTTTCAAAATAAATTGAAAAATCAAGTGTGAAATATATAAGAAAAAGGGAGTCGTCACTCGTCCAAATTATAAGGTGGGACAAGTCACCTAAAACGAATCTGCGCAGAGATCGGGGTTCGAGGGTTCGGTTAGGAGTGAGGAAGGGCATACGCGCACCTCACAATCCTCCGTTTAAACACGGTTGCATACTTTAACATTGGGGGTTTTTAATTCAACTTATTTATTATCTTTATCTTTAAGTCTTAATAGGGAAACTTAAAAAAGGATAAACCAAATTGAAACATTTTTTAATTTTTGGACTAAAATGGACAAAATAAAAGACATGTATGCACAATAAGCACAAATAAAAATTAAATGGACTGGTTTGAAAAGGTTTGAAACTTTTGGACTAAAGTGCTTGAACATGAAAATATTGTGCGGAATTGAAATAAAAGAGATAACTTTTCTTTTTTTTTTTTACTTTTTAACCTTTTTATTTTTATTTTTTTTTATTAGATCGGACTGACCCGACCCAAAACACGCTTCAAGCATAAAAATAGACAAAAAGAAGATCAAACATGCAACCAAAGCGGGAAAACTAGGATTCATGTAATTTCCAGTAACAGCGACACATTCATCAGAAAATAAACTGAATAATTTTTCTTGATTTTTTTCATTCATTTTCCAAGGAAACACATACAAACTTAAACACAGTTCTAAACAAAATCAACAGAAAATAACAGAAACACCCACGGCGGAATTTTTAGGAGGAGGTAGATCCAGATCGGAAGGGAG